CTATTAACAGCTCGATATTAGACCATCTGGTGCAAACCGGTCACAAAGCCAGCCAGCATTGAAGAATCCTTCTCTATAATATACCGGGTGCCTAACAAATTACCAAAATCATCGAAGCACCGCATGCTCCAAACAGCAGAGGCTATTGCAATTCGCCTCAAACAACCAGTGCTCCGTGTCCAAAAGAAACAAGTCCAGCCCCTACTACTGCCCTGGCCCTCAGTAGAGACTATAAACTCATGAATTTGTACTATTACCTTTCCTAATTCTTCTGACATTCAGTTTATTTTATGTTGATGCTGTTCAGCTGTAATCTATCAATATTATTGATTTGATGTTATTTAAACAGCATTAATGTCGTTCATAAGACTAATTCATTCATTCATTATAATGTATATATAATTGTAGAACCTGATGATGAATTTATTGAAAAGAGTACTCTTTGTTCCGTGTCTATTCTTTTGAAAATTATATAAGTTAGGATTATTGTTTACGTCATTAAAATGTGATGAATACTCAAATTATAACTGGGGGCGGGGGGGGGGGGGTGTAGGATGAAGATTGGTGTAAGCATTGACACAAGGGTTGCGTGATATGAAATAGGATCTTATAAATAAAAGAGCGTGGAGACACGTGTCCAAGCTTAATTATGTAATAGGTAGGAAGAGTAAGCAAGGGTGTTTTGGTTAAAAAAAAGATTTTATCAAAAATTCACATAAAAATTAAAAACCTCAAAAAAAAATTCAAAAAAGCATTATTAACAAAGTAGTAGTGTAACAACAGAAGACAAGGGCCAGGCAACAGATCGTTTATTAAGGAAAATCAACACATATTTATAGATTTTAATGTACATTATTGTAGATTATTGTTAGTAGAAAATACAGTCTTTTGATTGGTTGTTTCTCACAGAAAGTTAACCTTGCATCTCTTTGTGGCTGGCTGTGTCAGATCATCCATATGCTAACTGTATCCGCCTACGCAAAGCCTTTGTTCTCATTTTCTCACCACCAATATTGGGGACATAAACATTGACGTCAATTACTGTCTACCAACTTTGGCTAGCAGCCAGCTCTCACCACAGTAGAGCTTGGAATTATGCCGAAGGTGGAAGGAAGGGGTGGAGAAGTTCCTTCTGTGTAGTACATAAATCAGTGTTTTCTATCCGTATCGCTAGGGCCTCGGCAATGCAACAAAGTATGCGGAAGCTTACCTGTCGTTTTCAGGAGGCTTCTTCTAACTTTGACTTTGAATGAATAATTCCCCTTGCCTGTTGAGAGTGACCAGTGTTGAATATATATATGTTCAACTATGCCACTTTTTATTGATCCACTGTTACCTTTTCGTAGCCAAGTGGGATAATGTTTTTTGACTCTATTAGATGAAACACGTATCGAACGACCCATATATCTTTCTCTACATGAGGTAGACACATAGAAGTGGTCAAATGCGATAGTTTATCTTTGGAGTTGTTGAAGAACAATGTGAGCGGCTTGAGAATAGCAATCGTAATGTGTAGCAGCAGAGATTGTTCTTTTCATGGCGTTAGATATTTTTCTCTTTACGATGTTGGCCAGAAAGTCACCTGTGAATGCCAAATTCATGTATAGCATCTTCTTCGGCACAGAGATGGCTTGTTCTATGGTTGATCGTCGACTTTATGTGTTCATCTATAAAGCGTAGAGTGGACAGTCATTTTCAAGTACTGTCTTCCTCAAAAAGAGTGATCTCTTATACTGATTTGGCGCTGCAGATTCTACGGATTCTAGTCGCAAGAGTTATTATCAGGTTCCGCTTAAAAGATAAGCTGGTCACCGACTCAGTTCCAAAGAAAACAAACAATACTCATGAACTTGGGATTCAAAGGTGATCAAGCTTCAGATATGCTCAGAAATCGTCTCTCTAAATCAATCAGCAAGACATTCTTTGCTGCAAAACTACAAATGACCTCCACCAGTCGTAAGTTGCTAATCGTTTCTGTAAAAGATAAGCTGCCTTGTCTGACCGCCTCCATGTGCATCTGTCGATCACTTCGCCTGCTCTTGTGGAGCAACTAGTATTGGCCGTAGTCAGAGAACACTTTCCACACGGATACGAGAACATATTATCCAGTATGGTTTCGTAGAGGAGAAAGGAATGGTGTGCGAAGCTCTATTCTATTCTAGAACACCTGATCTACTTCTGTCACTTCACAAATAACCCTGACCATGATTCTAAGATCATGTAAAGAATTCATGCTGATTTGCCGTGTTCCCTTCGTTCTAAACTTCTAAAGACATCGGAGTCCCTTGGCTATTCACTCATGAATTTAATCCACAACTTTGTGTAGGAAAGAAGTCTGTTCAGTCCCTATTTCCTCCTTGGCCGTACAGAGATAAACATTGATTTATTGATTATTTTGTTTATTTAGATTATCTATGTACACCTGTCCGTTATTACTACGATTATTGTTACCGCTACTATTCTCACTTCGAAGTGTGTTTCCGGTTTTATTTCACTTGTCCCACTTGTCATTCAAAATCCAGATTTGTTTTTGCAATGTTGAATTGTATCTTGTCAAATTTCACATCATGTTATGTAACGTTTTATATTTGTCTGCTAACCATATAATTTTACACGCCTTTCCTAACATCTTCTTTCTTATGGACTTAGAATATGCAGATGATATAGTCCTGTTAAGGGAAGATGCTGACAAAATGCAGAGTCTTCTGAACACCTTGAGTGAGCAGCGATCTTCGTATGTTTCGCATGCGATTCGCCCCTGTAAAATGTAAGATGCTGATACAGGACTGGACTACGTCAACTCTTAGCTTAGTGATAGTGATAGGGAGTGAAGTGATAGAACATGTTGACCACTTCACCTATTTGGAAAGTTGTATCAGCACCAACGGACTGATTGGCAACGAAATCTCAGCACGGATCCAAAATGCTCGAGCTGCTTTCGCTAACTTACACCGTCTCTGGCGTAGGCGTGACATCCGACTATCAACCAAGGGACGTGTGTACTGCTCAGAAGTTCACTCCATCCTTCTCTATGGCTCTGAAACATGGCCAATACGAGTTGAAGACATGAAAAGGTTGACTGCTTTTGATCATGGATGTGTGTGATCTCTTTCTCACGTTAGGTGGTATAATAATGTAAGTAATGTTGACGTTAGGCGTAGATTGTTGGTTGGCCAAAGGGGGCAAATCAATCGACGAGGCTATAAAGTTACATAGATTGAGATGACTATGTGACGTACTGCTCATGCCTAACCATCGCCTCCCTGCCCCCGACGGACAGGCATTACTAGCTGATATAGGTGTTGTGGGTTGGAAAAGAGTAAGTGGTGGTGGCCAAACAAAAACATGGCCTCATCAATCCATGAGATGCTTGACAGTTAAACTGAGTGAGGTAGGGAGGGAGATGCAGACTTCCGGGTTGGGGCCCGCCCTCGGGACTCTAAGAATCATTTGCGCAGATGTATTCAGTCTCTGTAATCTTTCATATTCCTTTCTACCATTACTCATTCTGTTTCATTCACTCTTATACTTGTCAAAACTCTATTGATTCTCTTCACTCATCTTCATGTCTACCTTTGTGTGGTATTTGGAACGTGGCAACTGGAAGTGGTGCACTTCGGTGGCAAGTTCTATGTTGAATCCAGATAGACAGACAGACATCTATGCATCTTATGAATTATTCTATGTATGAAATTAATTGTTTTGCCACTTGACATTTAACTGTGATTATAATCACATATGTTTTAATTACATTTCATCCTACATTATTATTATTTCATGTATTCACACCTTTAATTCAATTCCCTCACACGATATAATTTCTTTAAAAAACCATATATATATATATACGATTTTACAGCTTGATAATAAATTCGTTGTTGAAAATAGTCTCTTCACTGAATATTGTGTTCCTAATGTTACAATGGGAATTATCAAATTAATAGAAAATTACACATTTTGCTGTTAAGACAGATCAAGTTCATTGTAGATTTTGTGATTGAACAAACTTCTTACGTAAATGCAGAGTTCAGGATTTAACATGTACATTGTCATTACTTCGGTGCTTTTTAAGAATTCGGATTCGTCTTCCCCTATCCTTAATCAAGATTCCCATGTATTCTGTGGATGAATTCGAAGTTGGTTTGTTGAAGAGAACACCAGATTCGAGGTGTTCCTGGATAGAGCTGTACCTGGGAGGCGGCCTTTTTTTGTCTCCTTTATAAAACCACGAGGGTAAGTGTTCGACGATATGTTTGGATAGCGAAAACACCGGACACGGCCGACATATCTATCTTCACACGAGCACGATGAATTGATGAAACCAGCAGTGGTAGCTTATCCTTCACATTCATGCAAATCATTGGTTTTATTATGGAGAAAGTTAGTCGAAGTTCAGCCACGAAGAAGAGAAATTGGAGACAGATCGGACACGCACACTAGGGAGTCCGTTGAGTGTGATATTATCACGGGCCAGGCCGGCTCTCGATCGATATCCCAGTGGGGGGTGGGTAACAACGAGTCAGCCGTTCGAGGGTAACATGTAGGAGACAGTGTATATAATGTCAGACAAATCCCCAATATTCAAGTTTTGATTTACAGGGATTTGATTAGTTACAGGATCTCATCATGAGCTGACATAGGTTACAGAAGCCACCTTCGAGTACTGGACAACTGTTTTGTCCCAGTTTGGGACGCTTCATCAGTACACACCCACCGCCAGGGTTCGAACCCAGCGCCGCCTTCCAGTTACAAGGCAAGCTTGTAGAACTACGGAATCCCAAACTAAGACGATTCAGCTGTCCAGTACTTTCAGGTGATTTTCCAATGGTTCTCCAACCGATGTGTCACTTCATGATGAAATCCTGAAATACCCAATAATTTATATCCTTTTTAGAATATTTCTCCTGGGATTATTTTGTTGACAGTCATTGTGTAAACCTTTTTTTAACATCAGAATTTTCCTAATACTATCTTTGTTTTCGCTTTTTTTTCGACAACAGGATAAAGACAATGTCTACTTATGCATGGAATATATGCCCGGTGGAGATTTATACTATTGGCTAGAGAAATATGATACATTCGATGAGACAATAGCACGTTTCTATCTGGCTGAAACAGTACTCGCCCTAGAAGCCTTACATCAATTGGGTTTCATTCATCGTGATCTAAAACCGGACAATATGCTGTTGGATGCGAAAGGACACTTGAAACTGGCTGATTTCGGTTCATGTGTACGTGTTGGCCAAGATGGTTACTACTATTGTACCTCACCGATAGGTACACCGGATTATATTAGTCCAGAAATGTTAAGTTGTCAAGCGAAAGCCGGTAAAATTGGTCCTGCATGTGACTGGTGGGCGTTAGGTGTTATTGCCTATGAAATGTTTTTCGGTGAACCAGCCTTTTATGGCCAGTCTCTAGTGGAAACATACAGTCGTATTCTTGCCCATGAGAAATCCCTACGTATACCAACGGATGCTGATCCAATCTCTCCGGAGACGGAACAATTCATTCGAGATCTATTGAAATCGCCGACAACTCGTTTAGGCTCATTCGATTTGTTAACAGAAGCTGAGATAATCACGGCAAAGAGTAATAAAGCAGTGGCTGCAGCTCAACAAGTTAAATCACACGCCTTTTTTAAATCGATCCAATGGGAACAGCTGAGGTCGGAGAATCCACCGATTCAACCGGTTGTCAACTCTGAGACAGATACATCGAATATTAACTTTGATGAAAGAGATTTAAGCTCAGATAATGTAGGCAGTGGTGGCGGTGGTGGTGGGGGAAGTGGTATGAAATTACCGCATAGTGGTGGAGCATTTGCTCCAGCTCGTCCACAGACACCAGCTTATTTCACAGGGAGTAATTTATCTTTTGCCGGGTTTACATTCAATCGTTATCATAGATATTTGGAAATGTTCTCACGTGTTACGAACACCAACAACACGACGACGACAAACAACAATAATAATAGTACTGCTACCAATGATAATCAGCCTCTTGAAAGTGGGCTAGTAGATACACAATCATCAAAACAATTGACTGAAGCTATAGAACGTCAAAAGTTGACTGAAGAAACCCTGAACAATTTAAAACAAGCCTTTCAAAATCTACAATGTCAATCAAGTAAAGATCAGTTGAGTCTAAAATCAATGAATCAACAATTAGTTGACTCACAGAATGAAGTGAAACAATTAAAAAGTGTGAAAACAGACTTTGAATGTCAATTACTTGATTTAAACAATCAAATAAATAATTTACACTCGGAACGTGATGCGCTACAGGCGAAGATTAAAGAATTAGAAGTACAGTGTCAAACAATAACACTGAATTATGAAACAGAACATCGTGAGTATGCAGGCTTGAAGAGTGACAAGGAGGCATTGGATCAACGTATCCAGCAGTTGGAAAAAGAATTATTAAAACAACAAAAAGATTTGGAGACGATGTCAGCAGCAGCAGCAGCAGGGAAACAACCGTCGAGCGATACTTCACCTACTACTGATAATGATACTACTCAAATGATTAATGAATTGAATGACTTAATAACAAATTTAAAAGTACAAAATTCTACTCTCCTCTCAGAAAATCAAGAAGCCGAGAAAAAGTGTACAGCGCTAATGAATGTTGTCTCTGAATTGCGTAAAAATCTTGAAGAACAAGTGAAAGAATTAACGGATCAATTGCAGACTACGCAAGAGTTGAGTTGCACTCATTTAACTAAATATAAAGAAACTGCGGATTTACTTGAACAAAGTAAATTAACCATCGAAAGGTTGCACAATGATTTAAGCGTATCTCAAGCGAATCTTGATAAAACACTTCAAGGTAAACAGACAATTGAAGAGGAATTAATTCAGAAAGACTCTGAATTATCTATGGCACAAGTACGTCTACGTAGTTTAGAAACTAATCTAGACTCGGTACGTAAACATGCTGACGAGGAGATTCATCGATTGAATAGTCTAGTGAATCGACAAGCTGTAGAAATGAATGATCTCTCCAAACAACTTGATGAAATGCGTAATTGTTGTGCTAATGTTGAAACAACCAATGGTCGATTAACTGAACGTGTTCAACAGTTGCAAAAAGATAAAGAAATCCAGCAGCGTAATCTTGATACACTAGTTGAAAAATTCTATAGTGAAATGAAAACGCGTACAATTCCACCGCCAGTCAAATCGAAAATTGTCAATCGTGATGAATATAAACAGTTAGAGAAAAAGTATAAAAATCTTCAGTCGACAACACAAAAAGATATTGCAAATTTACATGCTACAATTGAACAGTATAAAAAAGACTTAGCTGAACGAAGTAACTTGATCACTAGTCTAACGGAAGAATGTCAAAATATGTATAAGGAGCTGGGTCAACAAAGACAATTGGAGAGAAATTTACGTGCACGTCTTGATTATTATGTCAATCCACATTCTACTACACTAACAAAAGATGGGAATTATCAGCAACACCAACAACAGAATTCTTCAACAGTGTCTATACGAACTGCTGCCGGCGGAGATAATAGTGGTGGTGCTGGGGATACAACACTTTTGTCAGCTGCTGAAGAAAACTCTGCCCAACCATCTCCTTGTGTGGATACATCTGTCATCACTGGTGGCGGTGGCGGTGGCTGTGGTATTCCATCGAATATATTGAATATTATCCTTGAAGATATTGTCGATATTGATAGTAAAGGACGTGGAAAGCATAAGTTAATCTGGCTACCGAAATATGCTGTACTGAAAAGATTTTCACTATTATTTTATCCATCTCGAGCTGAACGTGAATCGAATCCTTCACTGGCTGAAGAAATTCCACTCTATTGTGTAAGTTGAGACTTTTTTATTTATTTATTTTTCTCTATATAATGATTTATATGCCCTCTAAATTATTATTATTATTATTCTCCATTAAGTTCCGAGTGGGACGTAGAGACAGAGAAGTACATTTCCACTCCATCTTATTTTCGCCAGTCGTTTTTACCCTGTTTCATGGATTGTTCATATGCTCTCATCGTCTCCATGTCACCCTCGAACTCATGCTGCTGGCTGGCTGGCTGGATTCAACATCGAACTTGACACTGAAGTGCAGCACTTCCAGTTGCCACGTTCCAAATACCACACAAAGGTAGACAAGAAAATGAGTGAAGAGAATCAATAGAGTTTTGACAAGTATAAGAGTGAAACAGAATGAGTAATGGTAGACAGGAATATGAAAGATTACAGAGACTGAATACATCTGCGCTAGCCATTGACAACGATTTTCAGCCATGTCACCTATTGTCTCCAGCCAGTGATTGATTCTTAGAGTCCCGAGGGCGGGCCCCAACCCAGAGCAAGTCTGCATCTCCCCCCCTACCTGACTCAGTTTAACTATCAAGGATTTCATGGATTGATGAGGCCATGTTTTTGTTTGGCCACCACCACTTACTCTTCTCCAACCCACAACACCTATATCAGCTAGTAATGCCCGTCCGTCGGGGGCAGGGAGGCGATGGTTAGGCATGCACAGCACGTGACCTAGCCATCTCAATCTATGTAACTTTATAGCACCTTGTCGACTGATTTTCCCTCTTTTCCCAACCAACACTCTACGCCTAACGTCAACATTACTCACCTTATTGTGCCACCTAACGTGAGAAAGAGATCGTAGACATCTATGATCAAAAACAGTCAACCTTTTCATGTCTTCAACTCGTATTGGTCATGTTTCAGAGCCACGTCCCTTGGTTGATAGTCGGATGTCACGCCTACGCCAGAGACGGTTAGCGAAGTTAGCGAAAGCAACTCGAGCTTTCTGGATCCGTGCAGCGATTTTGTCGCCAATCAGTAGTCCGTTGATGCTGATACAACTTCCTAAATAGGTGAAGTGGTCAACATGTTCTATCACTTCACTCCCTATCACTATCACTAAGCTAGGAGTTGACGTAGTCCAGTCAGTCCTGTAGCAGCATCTTACATTTTACAGGGGCGAATGGCATGCCAAACATACGAAGATTGCTGCTCCTCAAGTTGTTCAGAAGACTGTGCATTTTGTCAGCATCCTCCCCTAACAGGAGTATGTCATCTGCATATTCTAAGTCCATAAGACTATTCCCTGGTAACAAGTCGATTCCTAAGTCGTTAAGTTCAGTTAAGGATACTTCCAATAGCATATCAATGATGAAGTTAAACAGAAAAGAAGAAAGTGGACATCCTTGATGGACACCACTGGTTGTTATAAATTCAGATGACAATTCCCCCCACGCGTTGTTTTGTATTCGACTTCCATTCGAGTATCCGCCTGTCTTGGGGTGTATCACTCAATGCTTCTTTCTTTTTCAGCGTGCATCCAATCCTTCGGCACATGGTCAGAGTTCCTTGCTGTTGTTAATCCTTTCCAACAGGTCATCTGATCTTTTACCATAGAGAGAAGGTAGGTAGGCGTTGATAAAAGTTTGATGAAGCCTGTTGGTGTGATACACCTAAGTCTCTGACCACCTGCATACATAGAAGGACTGACTAACCTAACTAACATAAGTGTTGAAAATTCGAATTTTGGCCTTTGTGCTGTGAGTGCAAAAGAGTTCCAAACTGTGTTTTCACAGTGATGGAGGTGGTGTATCTTTCCTTTCCAATTCCAGTCTGCTTTGATATCTTCATCCTTTCCGCCTGTTGTTGAAACGATGGTGCCTAGATATAAATGCAGGAAGCAACCTCGTTCAAGTCTCTCCCGTTGGTAGGAGTTGGTTGGTGCTGGTTGTTGTTGCTGTTGTTGGTTGGTTATCTTCATCACCTCCGTCTTCTCTATGCTCATCTGGAGTCCTGTCTTTGCTGCTAACCTCTTCTGCCAGTTTTTTTGATTTTCACTTGTAAGCCTTCGAGTTTGTGTGATATCAGAGATTAGTCATCCATGCACGAAGTGCTGCAGATCTTCTAAAGTCTTCTTATCGCGGTGGTCCAGCGTATTATTCCTGTCTTCTCACTGCCACGCATAATCTGATGCATAATCCAGTCCACCACAATTATGAATATCTTTAATGATAATAGGCAACCAGTCTTGTCTTAATCATGTATTCACTTCGAAGGCTTCGCTGAATTTTTTTCTTTTCTAAATTATCATTATTGGTAAGTATTTAATTGAAGGATGGTGACTAGCATTGAAATCCAGGATAACGCGCATTTCGTCCTATTTGGGACTCGTCTACTGGATGTACCTGCATTTCTCAGTGAGTGATGACGTTCCCACTGAGGCTCAAACCCAGTGCCCATGGTTTCAAACGCCAAAGCGTTATCCACTAGACCACTTGGGCCACGAGAGCCACCTCTTGTGCAACGGGTCATATTAATTATTGAATTGAATTTTAGATTTTTCCCGTCGACTGATTGGACCGAAGTGCTCGGTCTAAGGTTAACATGTCGGCTTCTTGAGCAGATGCTTCGACGATGTCTGGGCATTTAATTAGTATTTAATTGAAGGATGGTAACTAGCAGTGGAATCATGAACACTTACACCTTCTTGAGTCTCAGAGACTTAAAGTCTGATCCACAATTCACTGGAGAAACGTCAGGAACTACTTTTCCTTGGTTCATGGTGACCAAAACAGGTTCATACGCCGTTTGATCCCTCCAAATTTTGCTATCCATGTACAACGTAGTTTCTGAACTAGGGCATTTTTTAGCTCCCTTAGGTAAACCAGAATGCCCAATCAGTCGGATTGTAAGCGCCAGACATTCGCATTAGTGCTTTCACTTCTGTAAAAGAAGCACACCCAACTTGCGTGAAGTCAGGGAATTAGGAATTACTTGCAAGGGACTATGAATGTGTGGTCACATGAGACAGAAGTGTACCCACCTTTGACCCCCTAACCACTTTCTTTATGGGAGATCAATATGTGAGGTGGTCACAGTTGATGAAAATATCATTAGACTTCATGTGATGAAACCTCCTTTTCTATGGTGAAAATAAATATTTTTAAAAAGTAGCTCAGAAAATATTAAACGATTTCTCTTATCAAATAAATTGGTGGATGTTGACTAGCAGTGTAGAATGCTGGATGCGCACTTCGTCCTATTTGGGACTCGTTGGCCGCATGTATCTGCATTCCCCAGTGAGAGTGATGGTGTTCCCACTGAAGCTGAAACCCCACTGCCCATAGTTACAAATGCCAAAGTGTGTTATCCACTACAGACTACACTTGGGATACGAGTCCGAATTGAATTAAATAATTACTAATACCTGTCGCTTTGGCAACTACTTCGCTACTACTACGGTGTACCATTGACATTTATACATCTCACCCAACAGTTGTACGACAATGCTGCATGCCAAGTAATCCACAACGGGAAACTCACGGAATCCTTCGAAGTAAAGACGGGAGTAAGACAAGGCTGGCTGCCTACTATCTCCAATGATTTTCCTGATTGCGGTAGACTGGATAATGCGATACATAGACAGCGGGGAATGAGAAAACATGCATAAAATGAACTCACACAAAAAACTTGGAGGATCTGGACTTCGCCGATGATATATGTCTGATTTCCCACAAACTGGAAGATATGGAAGCGAAAAGCAACAAGTTGGCAGAAGAAGCATCCAGAGAAGATAGGACTTCAGGTGAACATTGAGAAAACAGAGGTAACGAAGATTCCTGGACAAGAACAGCAACAACAGACAACGGTCAGCATAAATGGAAGGAACCTGAAAGAAACAACCTCCTTTACCTACCGACCTGGGAAGCATCGTTTCAACTACAGGCGGATGGGACTGACGAGTATATCAAAGCAGCGAGGATCGGGAAAGCAAGACAAGCTTTCATTACTACCAAGTCTGTGTGGAGGTCAACAGCACTCAGGATAAAAAATTAGATTTTCAACTCCAATGTGAAGTCAGTGCTACTTACTATACAGATCAGAGACTTCGCGCGTCATGAAGAGCACCTCAAACAAACTACAGACCTTCATCAACAGCTGACTTCGCTCAATACTCAAGGTCAGATGACTGGCCAGAAAAGATCAGCATAGTGAGAGATCTCTGGCAATGAGCAAACCAAACTCAGGAACAGATTGTGAAACAAATAGGCAGGAAGAAATGGAAGTGAATTGGTGGCCATACTCTGAGAAACCAAACCATCAAGTGACATCACACTAGACAAGCCATCGCTCGAGTGGAACCCGAAATGGAAGCGGCGAGTTGGTGGTCAGTGCAAGGGTGATTTGGAGGAGGTCATGTGAAGAAGAGATGAAAGCATGTGTGCAGACGTGGAGCCGGGTAAGGACTCTAGCAGAGAACCGAACGCAATAGAGACGCGTGGTTGAAGCCCCATGTTCCTCTAGGAATTAAAGGAAATAATAATAATAATACCTGTTGCACAATAAAGATGTAGTTCTCGTGATCCAAGTGGTCTGTAGTAGATGACACTTTGGCATTTGTAACTATGGGTATTGGGTTTGAGTCTCGGCGGGAACACCATCACTCACTGACGATTCACTAGGGGGAATACAGACGCATTCAACTGACGAGTCCCAAATAGGGCGAAACGTGCATCGTGGTCTGACTCCGTTACTAGTCTCCACCACTGACCAAGTTAAATGATCAGACATCAATCGCCTACATGTTAACCTTCGATGGCCCAGCACTTCTGCCCAATCAGACAACACGAAAGTCCAAATGCAATCAGAAACATATTTCTGTCTACATTAGTCATAAATAATAAAGCTATAAAATCTTGTCTATTATTTCCAAAGTCTATGAGTGTGTGTGTGTGTGTATACGTACGTCACATGGAAATGCGACATTTCACTCTGTCTCTCTCTCTCTCCCTCTGTCTCAATCCATTCAATTCATT